TACATGGAATGAGGCAAGATAAGGGAGGGAACAGAATGTATCCTCCTTTTACTTATTTTTTTTTGGATGAACTGGGGATTGAACTCAGGCCCTTGTGCTTGCCAGGTAAGCGCTTATTCTGAGTCATCTCCCCAGCCCCTGATTTGTACTTTTTGTTGCCACCATTTAGCACATGCACTGCAAAGAGATTAATAATCTAATAACAGCCTTTTCTACTTTTAGAATATCTAAGATGAAACTTTAATTTTAAACTATGACTCAAAGTTGCAGCCAAATGAGATATGACTACAAGTCCAGATGTTGATTCTACAAAATACTACCACCTCAGAAACTCCTTATCCATTACTGGCTCTCATTTTTCAAAATCTTAGCTTCAGTCACTGCTGTCATCTCCATATCCAGGCCTTGTACTCAAGACTGTCACCACTATATTGTTCTGATTTTTTTTTTTTCTTTTTGGCAGTGCTGGGGATGGAATACAGGACACTGTGACTGGCAAGCACTCTACCATTAATCTACACTCTCAGTCCTCTCCTGAACTTCCAACCCAATTCTTCACTTTCTCTAGTTTCTGAAGACAGTCTCTTGTGCCATCTTGTGTTCCTAAATTATAATCAGCAAATTCTCTCTAACCTCTCTCCAAAAGGGACTCAGTTTTGAGAGCACTACAGTTCTCTCTAGTGAAAGCTATCTTTTGTAAAGAGTAGAATATATTTTCTGTGTGAAAGAAAGCTTCTGTCCAAGAAAGAAACATAAGGGGACCCAAGTAGATTGCCTTTTGTAGGGATTTTTATAAAGCAAATCCACAACACAAAGCAGGTCCAAGATGGGGAGAAAATGGGAGCTCACTTTTTTTTTTGTCTCACATGAGTCAGAAAACTGCTTCTCACTGACACTTTCACATACCTTCCTCTTGTGTGAACTGTTATCCAGTTAAACTCCCTGTAATGTCTGCCAATTACTGACTTCCTACCTATTCCCATTCACTCCCATCCCCATTCCCTGACATCTCAACACCAGCCTTCCTCTCTGCCCCATTCCTCTCATTATTTTTGAAGGCCTCACCATTCACAGTTTCCGAAGGTGAACCTTTTATGAGTGCTCAAATTATAACCCAAATCCCACTTAGTTATAAAGTGCCAACACTACAATTACATCTCAGTGTTGAGGTTTTAGTTTAGAAAAAACAAGTCATACATTCATATCTCTCTGCTAAATCTTAGATATTAAATTTCAGTTTTTCAAAGGTTGGCCAGATAGCTCAGCAGACTAAAGCACCTGCTTAAGCAGAGTGCAGCGGCTGGGCTTCCATCCCCTGGTGTGCTGGCCTCACCCCTGGGGCACGCTGAGATGTGATTGAGACTGGATGTGGAGGCAAGCTCCTGTAATCCCAGCCCTTTCAGGAGGCTGAAAGCAGGAGAATCACTATGAGTCTGATCTACATAGTGAGACTCTGTAGATCCTGTACTAAATACAAAGAAAAAAATTTAATTTTTCATAAGAAAACTCAAAGCTAAAATCTTATGTTAATAGAAGCAAATGCACTAAAACTCACAGGCAGTCCAAGCAAATATACATATATCCTTGTCAGCATACTGACTGGCCATGCTAAGGTTCAAGAGTTGTAGCTAATGAGTCCCAGTTTGTGACATCATCACCTTTCTAAGCATGTGCACAGCCCATGTGTGCAGTTCTCAGCTTCTTGGGCCTGCTGACAGAGGGCTCTGCATTTCATGCTCACTGATGCATACACGCCACGCGTGCAATGTTTGCCACCCTTGATACAGATGCTCTAACAGTATTCCACCCCACATCAGTCACCCATTTGTAGACCAAATCAAAAATTATTGCACTTACCAAAACCAACTACTCATTACCTTGCTATCTTACCATTTCATTTGGTCTAATACCCACTGTAAATCTAGACCACCAATCTTCTAGACCCAAATCTAATAAACTTTTCCTCCTACCTTCACTTTCTTTTTTCCCCCTCATTTAAATTCTAAGATCCATTATTAAATACCCCTTCTTAAATATCTTCAGCTCACTTAGCTTCCCCTCCATCTATTATATTCAGCTGGGAAAATCCATTCCTGGCTGAACCAAATACTGACCATGCCTGAATCAGAAAAAAATAGCTATAAATTACTAATGAAAATCTACAATCTAAACTATTTTTTAAAGTTTGCTTTGTTTTTTAGATGAGGTCTATGGTGCACAGGCTCATTTTGAATTCCTGGAGATAAGCAACCCTCCCACTTCAGTTCCACAGACAGCTAGGGCCACAGGCTTGCACCACCATGCCAGACTCCATTCGCTTACATTTAAGCTGGTGACCTCACATTTCACACTTCTACCTCCTCCCTCTTCTCATTTTCATGTGTTGGCCATATCTGATACATTATTGAAAAAGATGACACAGCAGACAAGACTGGTTCACCCTTCCAACATCAAACCTACCACCTGACCTGCTCCTACTCTGACCTCAGGCCACTTCTCCTATGTGTGCAAAGGATCCACTCTCCCACCTTCTCAGGAATTTCACTTGTGTTCTTTTCTTCTTCTGTACCATGTTTTTCCTTTACTGAACCAAACCTTTTCATCAACACATAAATGTGCACCAGTGCTCCTATCCTCAGAGAATCTTCCTTAACTCTAGATTCTCCAGCAGCATTCACCCAGTTTCTTTCCCCCCTTAAAGCATCATTCCTAAGAGCTAGCAATGCTTCTTTAAATGCCTCATCTTCCATTCACTATGCAACCTATCCACACTGTTTTTCATCCCCCCACACTGCTGAAGATGCTCTGAGGAAAGTCACTATGCAAGGAAGGGCTGACTTGGCAAGACCGGGGTGTTCTGGTCCTGTATGTTCCAAAGACAGAACCAGCCCTTAAGCTCCTGGTAAATAATTTCCACGCTCTTATAATATCTTACTGAAAAGAATATCTTCCTACACTTGCAGTCTTGGATCATACAGATAATTTAAACTAAAATGTGACGGCTACTAAACACCTGTTTTGTTTACCTGGAGCCCTGGGCCATGGTGTACCAGTTTACCCTCTAGGATTTTGAGATTTGAGTAGTCAGGGTCACATAGGCATCTAAAGAATGTCCGATGCTCAGGAACAAGTGTTGCCTGGTTGGCAATACTTCATCATCATCACAAATCATTTCTTTGAGAATTAAGCCCTGTCTATACAATTCAGTTGCAATAGGACAACTGGAAGTTTGTATTTAGATTCTTCTAGAATCCACCCTCAAGCATTATTCTTAATTTTTTGATGATTTCAATCTGTTTGATTTTACTGTGGTATATAGTAACCAGGAGGGCCAGGAATATAGCTCAGCAACACAGTGCCTGCCTGGCAAGCATGAGGTTATAAGTTTAATTCCCAGTACCACAAACAGAAACAAAAACAAAAAATAGTAACCAGGAACAAAAGAACTTTCCTGAGTTCTATAAGGATATTTACTAAATCACAGAACCTGAGGACAGTCATGAGGCACATCTACCAAGTCACCACTAACTTCCTACTGGAACTCTAATGTGTGCTGGAAATCTCTGTGCTTCCTATGCCCCCTTTGATCTCTTCTGAAACACTTTGCCCTGACAGAACTGAACATACACTCTCCACAATCATTTTTTAAAAATTAATTAATCAATTAATTAATTAATTTGGTATAGGCTCTCACTACAGAGCTTGGACTCAGTGACTCTCCTGCCTCAGCCGCCCCAGTGCTGGAATTACAGGCATGTGCCACCATACCCCCTTAAAGCATCATTCCTAAAAGCTAGCTATGCTTCTTTAAATTTTTGTGTGTGTGTGTGTGTGTGTGTGTGTGTGTGTGTGTGTGTGTGTGTGTATGGCCAGCTCAGCCCACCAGGGGGCGGGGCTGGCTGGCATGTGGTGCTGGGGGATTGAACCGTGGTCCCTGTGCTTTGCTAAGCTTGTTCTAAATAGGTGCTTTAGACCACTGAGCCATCTCACCAGCCCAGCTATGCTTCTTTAAATGCCTCATCTTCCATTCACTATGCAACCTATCCACACTGTTTTTAATCCCCCCCACACTGCTGAGGATGCTCTGAGGAAAGTCACTATGCAAGGAAGGGCTGACTTGGCAAGACCGGGCTGTACTCTGGCTGGCACACAGAGAGCCCAGGGTTCCAAGGTTGGCATGGCATGAAGTACTGGGGACAGAACCCAGGTCCTTGTGATGCCAGGCAGGTGCTCAGACGGCCAAGCCATTGCCCCAGTCCCTCCAACTTGCTATCTCTTCTTGGTCTCTTTTGTTGTCTCCATTTCCATCTAAAGGTATTAATAAATACTGCTAGTTTCAGTACTAATGAAATCCTGATTTTCCTCGTTTTACAATCAGTAAAACATGAGAGCCATGGAATTAAGAAAAAAACTCTTGGCGGGGAGATGGCTCATTGGAATAAGTGCTTCCTTGGGGCAGGGGAAATGGCTCTTACACTAAGCGCTTGCCTGGAATAAGCGCTTCCCTGGCAAGCACAAGGGCCTGAGTTCAATCCCCGGTTCCGCAATAAATAAAT